TAAAGGAAGCGTAAAAATAAAGGTCTCCGTTCTTCTTTGTTCTGATGGACATGAAATGGTTAGAAGTATTGACAAAGTACATATTATGTAATTTACACAAAACAATGATGTATTTGGTGCGTTTGGTGCGATTAATGTACAATATCCCAGTTATAAAAAAGTAATCAAAGTCAAATCAAATAAAAGTAAATTTTATTTGTTACTAGCTGTGCCCGCGACTTCGTTCGAATTTAAATTAAAAAAATCTAAAATACTCCTTAATAGATCAGCTAGCTATCTGTCAGTAAAAGTTCCGTCCAAATCGGTCCAGCCGTTTCAGAGATTAGCCGGAACAAACAGACAGACAGACAAAAATTGTAAAAAATGTAATTTGGTTTATGTACCGTACATCCTTTTAGTAAAAAGCGGTTATTTTAATACCCAATATTGTCAATATTCGTTAAATATTGACTATATTGGGTTGCATTAATTGGGCAAAAGTTACTAATAGAAAATCTTTCTGTGCATTCCCCTACATTTTAGCAAATTCGCTCTGCCTCCATCCACAAATAGTAAGCGGAAATTTTAGCAAATTAATGCTAATTTATTTCACTGGGCGACATCATAGCTGTAAATAAGTGCGATGTACAGTCACCGAGAAAGGTCAGCGGTATCAAAAGCATTCTGCGGCCACCGGTCGGCTCATACACCATTCAGTAAAGGAGGTACACTCGTGCTACAAAAGTAATAACTGATAATATGATATTAAGGTACTAGTGGTTTAGCACGTATTCCTCCGCATGGTTTATTACTATATAAGAAAAAAATAATGTTTAAAAACAGTAATATTGTTTTTATGTGATAACTGCCTGCCCATGGACATTTGCAACACCTGTAGGGTTGCAGATGCGTTGCCACCTCTTAATCAAATGGGCACCGGCTACCACACTCACTAGACGAAACACACAAGTGCAACACTTCACGCCGGTTTTTTGTGAGGTCGTGGTAATAAACCGGATGGACCACCCCATGCGTGCAACAGCCAACACTTGCGTGGTTGCACAGTTGCGTGGCCCTAACACCGTATTATTTGTGCGTATTACCTAGAAAGTATTTACGTGGACCAAAAATAAAGACGTACCAAACGGGGAAAAACATTACATTTACACCTTTCTGCTTAATAGTTCATCAAGAATTTTAAAATGTAATTTAAATTAAATATTAAAAGGTTTAATTAAAGTATTTAAAATATATATTCTAAACATTTTTGAATCAACTGTACTTGTCGAATCATTCCCCGGGGTTCCTTCTGAAGCCTTTGATTCACTTAAGTCTAACTACACGTAGATGCGAGCGCTAATGAAACCAGACCAGGGCATTTGTATACATAAATAATGAACTCTACCGAAATTATAAAACATAATTCCTAGCCCGACACTATCTTAAATATATTAATAATACAGTTTTTTATAATATAATAACATGAAAGGCAGTTCGTTTGATGTTAAGTGATTACCGCCCTCCATGGACATCATCACCTTTAGGATTCATCACCTGGTGTTAAAATACCAAACGAAATACAAATGTATCATACTTCAATTTCACGCTGATCGTCTTTAATACTTCACGGTATTTCTCCAAGCGAGCCCAAGGTTACAAGGAATGCTGCTGAATCACCCTACCAAATAAAAATCTTACTAAACTATTTAAAAAAACAATAAAGTGATAAAACAAAAAAGTAAAAACAATAAAGCCTATATGTGTCCCACTGCTGAGCAAAGGCCTCTTCTGTGCAAAGGGTAATAAAGCACAGTCTACCACGCGGCCCCACCGCTGAATAGCAGACTTCACATCGTCACTTCCGCCTGTTAAAGTTTAGATTTGACACATTTTTACACAACATTTTCTAGTCCCAAACTAAGCAACGCTTGTACTATGGGTACTTGAAAACTGATAAACATACTTAAACATACCCAGACACTAGAAAAACACTATGTTCATCACACAATATTTTCCAGTAGTGGGGATCGAACCCACACCCTCTGGCGCAGGAGGCAGGTACACTACTCACTATGCCATTCGGGTCGTCAAAAGTTAACTGCTGAACATAGGCCTCCCCCACAGACTGTCACTAAATACGTTCCTGCCACCTGCAACCCTCGTTTTCCCGCACATAGCATATGGTATTCCGAAAATACAAATACATATGCATCTTATACTTCACCACTCAGCACTGATAAGTCAGCAGTTAAAATTAACATTTTCGTTGGTGTTTAATTTTTTTTATAGTATATAAGTTTTTTTTATAGAGCATTACGCTCTGCACTTGAGAATGTTTCAACATTTAGATTTTGTAAAATAAAGGACGAAACCGTAGCGGCGAGAAATGCTTGAAATGCGAAAAATCAATGTAGATAAAAGAAGTTTATCTGTGGTAGGGCCACGCAACAGTCTTCGCTGTTGCACGAATGGGCAGGTCCGTCCGGGTAAGTACCACGACATCACAGAAGAAGTGGTAGTATTATAATTGCTTCTGCGTTTTGTCTAGTGAGTGAGTAGCCGGACCTCACTTCATTAAAAGGTGGCAAAGCGTGTCAACGCGTGTGACATCTGCATGTCAAATGTCATGTCAAAAATAATAACATTCAAATTTTCTTCGGTATGGCAATCAACCGTTTAACTTAAATTAAAAGTGATTTCCCCGACAGCTCACAGCTCTTTTACTACTGTTTTAAAGTTAGTCAATGATGTTTTAACAAATATGACGCATATCCATACGGCGCGACGTATATTAAATTAAAAAGTTTAATTGTTCCGTTATACGACGTTTATAAGCAAATGTGACAGATGATTTAGAACGTATGATACGGAAAGAGATAGCAGTCTATAAAATCGCAATCTAATTACACCAATTGGCGTTGAGCTTTGCACCAATTTGAGTGTCTCAATTTCGGTGCAAAGGTGTCATATCTACCTCGTATTTGTATATATATGATTGATTGTTAGTTGATAAAATATAACGGCTGTGGTTTAAACAATTAATGCTACCTATAAGTATATCAGATAAAACACATAACGATTTGATTAAAATACAAACACAACGCTAAAGCCCAAACGTAGAATCAAATTGCAATTGACGTTTACACACACTGTTGTTTAGCAATAAAACTTTTGAATCAATCACAAATTGAGGGCGCTTTATTTAAAAAAATACAAAAATGGGTGCGTACAAAAGCCGTCTAAAAAGTTTATTAATTTCAGCTACCGAAGCATTCACAGTAGTTAATAAAATTAAAAATGCAATGTTCCACGTTCATTTATTTGTATTCACTATTTAGTCAAATTGACATGTTTGCGCAAATATATGCAATTTCAATAACAGTCAATGTTAAATTTCATGCAAATGAATGAACAAATACAATAATAACACATCGATCATTTTTAATTTTAACGAGATCAGTCGAAAACTATGACCCGAAGTATGTACAGAATTAATATTTACATTAAACTTGTTTCAACAAGTCGGCGTTTATATACAAAATTGAAATATTAATTTCGAAAGCCAACAGGAGACGGAATTGAGCCATGATAACAGTGAAATAACGCCATCTCTACGTCTTACATCGGAAGTATCGAAGAAAATTTTGAATCTATTGTACTACAAGCTTTTCGCCCGCGGATTCGCTCGCGCTGAAGCCCTTGTATAAATATCAACATATTTTCAACCCTCTAAAACACTTTTTCCCAATTAGGCTCTAGACTATCTGTGTACCAAAATTCATTTAAATCGGTTCAGTAGTTTTGGCGTAAAAGCGAGATAGGACAGACAGAATCACTTTCGCATTTATTTATTTATTTGTTTATAATATTATTATGGATTTATATACCAAATTTTTTAATTTTTTAATACTTGAAACCAAGCTACAGACCAAGACTTTGTGCTAATTTTGTAAAAATAGACTACAAATCAATTACTGCTTGTTTTTTTTTTTTTTTTTTTTTTATGCGAAAAGTTGTCAAACGAGCAGACGGTTTACCTGATGTTAAGTAAATACCGCCGCCCATGGACATCTGCCACACCCGAGGGTTACAGATGCGTTGACAACCTTTTGAAAATTGTGTGTCCTGATATCAGTCAAATACTACGTGACAAAGATCTCACGGCCATGTTCCACAGCATATTAACAATTTATGTCAGAACGTGTGTAGAAAACGTATTTAGAACTACCAATTCTTATGTCTATTTCATTAGTTATTAGCGATGGGTATTTGACATTAGTTCCATAATACTTACGTCAAAGTTCTATTGTGCTGATGATCTAAGTGCTGTTTTATCACGTGCGTTGAAGGAAAATACTGTGTGTATTACCTGAATATTTTCTAAATAATATAATAACAAAAAAAATATTTCAAAGATATTTGAAGTCCGTCAATCCGCAGTGGGCCGCGTGATGGACTACGATTATATTTACAGAGGAGGCCTTTGCCCAGCAGTGGGAAATGTATAGGCTCATACTTTACTATACTGTTATATTATTTTCTTTACTTTTATAATATGACATACCTATATGTGTATGTGACAGATTTACAGAAAGAGATAGCAGTCTATAGAGTTGCATTTGACGTACGCTAGCCATAGATAGAATCAGACGGCACAGAAGAGAAATTACTGCTGATAATTAATTAATTAGCCTCCACCGGCACCACTGAAATTTTTAATTGCAAGTTTGAATTTTGACTTACTAAGAGCTTAATGGTAAAGGAAAATTCAAAGGAAACCCTTATTTTACCACAAATCCTGTTTTGACTTATCTTATTTTCAATAAAAACTATTTTCAAAAACGTTTTGAAAAGCTATATTTTACGAAGAGATCATTTGAATAATTTGAAATTCGTTCGAATTGTATTTACCGAATGGCACTCTCGAATTTGTTTTAGGTTCGTCATTCTAGTTAGTTGCGGGCGAGATACAGTCAGTTAGTTTAGAAAGAAAATATTAAGTGTAAGCTAAAGATTTCGCAATGAGGGAAATAGTGCATATACAAGCTGGACAATGCGGCAACCAGATTGGTGCAAAGGTAAGGTGGTTTTATGCACTCCACAGTGTTGGCTTTTACAAAATGATATTTATGTAAAAATATTTTAAATAAATTTTGAAATAACATCGTTTAAGCTAAATTATAAAAGTAATTATTTCACGCATAAAGTAAAAGAATTGATCTAGATTGTTCTTCCAGTGTGTGCTTTGTTTTATTTAAAATTGAGAATTGTATAGAATTCTTGTTAGCCAATTTTTATTCATAGGTATAACATATATCATGTAATAACATAATAGGTATATGTCAAACCAGAGGGTCATGAAAAAAAGTATAGATGTATTTATTGAAACACTAAAAATTGGCAATGTGACCTACAGTAATAGCTTAAACTACATCCCGTATCGCTACACCCCAAATAAACCTGAATTACTACGTCGTAACATAAATCGTAAATTTCCAGTTCTGGGAGGTTATATCGGACGAGCATGGCATCGATCCAACTGGCACGTACCACGGCGACTCCGACCTTCAGTTGGAGCGTATCAACGTTTACTACAACGAAGCCACCGGCGGTAAATATGTGCCCCGCGCCATATTGGTTGACCTCGAGCCGGGCACGATGGACTCTGTGCGCTCCGGGCCGTTCGGGCAAATATTTCGGCCGGACAACTTCGTGTTCGGCCAGTCTGGCGCCGGCAACAACTGGGCCAAAGGGCATTACACGGAGGGCGCGGAACTGGTTGACTCTGTCCTTGACGTTGTCAGAAAGGAGGCTGAGGGCTGCGACTGTCTCCAGGGGTTCCAGTTGACACATTCTCTCGGCGGAGGCACGGGTGCCGGCTTAGGTACACTACTAATATCAAAAATTAGGGAGGAATACCCCGATCGTATAATGAACACGTTTAGTGTTGTGCCATCGCCGAAGGTGTCTGATACAGTGGTGGAGCCCTATAATGCAACACTATCCGTACATCAACTGGTTGAAAACACTGACGAGTCGTACTGCATTGACAACGAGGCTTTATATGACATCTGTTTCCGCACTCTGAAGCTTACCACGCCTACGTACGGAGACCTGAATCATCTAGTGTCTGCTACAATGTCTGGTGTCACTACTTGTCTCCGATTTCCCGGTCAGCTGAATGCGGATCTTAGAAAGCTAGCTGTGAACATGGTTCCGTTTCCTCGTCTTCACTTCTTTATTCCTGGGTTCGCTCCTCTGACATCTAGAGGCAGTCAGCAGTATAGAGCTTTGACAGTTCCAGAGCTCACCCAGCAAATGTTCGATGCCAAAAATATGATGGCCGCTTGTGATCCACGTCACGGTAGATATTTGACGGTAGCGGCTGTTTTCCGGGGCCGGATGTCGATGAAGGAAGTAGACGAGCAAATGATGAATATTCAGAATAAGAACTCGTCCTATTTTGTAGAATGGATACCGAACAACGTGAAAACGGCTGTGTGCGATATACCTCCGCGAGGCTTGAAGATGTCTGCCACGTTTATTGGCAATTCTACGGCGATCCAGGAGTTGTTTAAGCGCATATCGGAGCAATTCACGGCTATGTTCAGGCGTAAAGCGTTCTTGCACTGGTATACGGGGGAAGGTATGGACGAAATGGAATTCACTGAGGCGGAGAGCAACATGAACGATTTAGTATCGGAATACCAGCAGTACCAAGATGCAACCGCTGAGGAAGAAGGCGAATTTGACGAAGAGGAAGAAGGTGGTGACGAAGGAGATTAAACTGTACCGAGCCGAAGCGCAATTTTTTATTATTTGTTTTAACTACTTTGAATATATTATATTGTTTTTAATAAGCTTTCTTCATACCTCTTACACTAAAATTATTACTCCTACCATTGTATTTGACTCTAATAAAGCACATTATCTCTACTGTGGGGGAGGCCACGCACCAGCTGGTTCGTCCGGGGAAGTACCAAGGCCTCAGAACACCGACGAAGTGAAATTTATACTGTCGGCATGTCTGGTGCGGGGGTTATAGGTAAATGAATTTTCGCCTTAATACTTTAAATCATACAAGTTGGTCTTAAACACCATATGGCGTCAAATACTCGATCGTGAATCCTTATGTTGACGATTTTTTTTTTGTGCTAGTCTCGATATGATAAATGGCTTAGCCGTTGATAGTTGGTAAATGACCTGGACTCGTTATCAGGAAGACAGGTTTGAATCGACAAGCATCGAAGTTTTTGTGCATTTACCGTGTAAAGTAAACATATTATTGCCCCTTCTTACACAGTTCCGGAAAGTAGTCCGTAGTTTCCGAAAAGTAGTACATAGTCCAGCACTCCGGATTGGCAAACTTCACAGATCTTCGTAATATTTTTTTTGTTATTTCGAAAATATGCAGGTTTCCTCACGATGTTTTTCCTTCACCACTGAGCACGTGATAAGTACTTAAAACTAACAATTTCATTGGTGCAGACATCGGGGATCGGACTTGGGTTATTCTGGCATATTGAATTAAAAGCGAGCGCCCGGACAGTGAGCTTTAACAAATTATTTATTTATGTATTGGTATGGCAAAGCCATAACGTAATTAATATTTCCGAACAAAATTTACTCTTATTAAAATTTTGTAGAGTGCTCTCCAACTGTTAATAACGCCGCTATGTCGCTCTAAGGCATTAGTAGCTTTATAATATTAATTTTACACGTACGTAAGCAAATTTATTTCGTGCTCCACAGAAGTATCAAAGAGGAATACGTCCTTATTAATTATTCAACGCTCTCCCAAAGAGCTAGGCACAGTGGCGCCGGGATGAAACCACTTATGAGCACAAGTTTGGTACAACGGGAATGCGAAATTCTTTCGTGGAACTATACATATGCTTTAAAACGTATGCAAACATATGAATATAAAGAACACTAGATAAATAGTCACATTACATTATTTATAGCGCACATTCTACTTAAATGAATTCCACTTGAATCTAAGAAGTAAGAGTCAAACGTTTCTATTGTAAAGACTAAGTAAAAATCTCTCTAGAACTTTATTAGAAATTACGAATCAGCTAAATAGCATACTTTTCCTTGACACTGTTGTGTTATTGAACAGTTTTCTTTTTCCTCGTATACGTATTATTTACAAAATATCAGCAAGGAAATGTCTTTTAGCGGAACACAAATCTCTGTAATGGAGTGATGTAGAGTACGGTTCACAGATAGCATGGCCCATAATTGGCCAAAGGCCTCGACTACATCGAGGGTATTACAGCCTAGTCTACCATTCTACCTCACTTTGGACTAGCATAATTCACATCTTCATTGAAAAAAAGGTTTTTTAATAATTTCATAGGTATACAGGTTGTTTACCTTCACTTTCATTTTTTTATTTTTTTATTGAGGTGGTTCACCTGATTTTAAGTGATAACCACCGCCCATTGACATTTATAACATCCGTAGGGTTTCAGATGTGTTGCCACCTTATAATGGGCCTCGGCTACCACTACTCGGCTATACACTAGGCAAAACGCAGAATACACTTCCACTTCACGCCGGTCTTATGTGGGGTAGTGGTACTTAACCGGAGTGAACTACCAGTTCGTCTATTCGTTCACCTGCCTGTGATAAATGATCATTTAAAATTACGAACAATATCATTGGTGCCGACATCGAGATCAGAACTCAAGTTGATCGAGAGAAATATTATGATATTTTATTCTGATTTTTACTATTTATTGTTAAAGCGGCCACAGGAATACATTATCTGTAAAAAATTTTACTGTCTAACTATCACGGATTATATTAAGAGAGATTCAGCCTAGTGACAGACGGACAGACAGACAGACAGTCAGCGATAAGCAGACAGACCCTTTTGGTACGGAACCCTAAAAACTACTTACAATCAAAAGAAGATAGATACATCGTTTTATCACTGGCAACACCATAATAACGTCCAATTTAAAAGTTGCGAAGTTAACCAAACGCAGGCATTATTCGAAATGGAAAAAATCAAATTGGCCATTCGCACACTTGGGAATTTTCGACGCTCATTCGAACCTCTATTCGTGCGCCGCTTAATAACGAACTCGACTTGTGCAATATCGAAAAGTGAAAGATCAAGTCTCAATTACACTCAACCGTCAATGTTTCTGTTTGGATACTGTGTTGAGCTTACATGAACAGGCATATCTGTCTGCATCGATATACCCCAAATGAAAGGTGGTGGTTCAATTGAAGCACTTCAATTTTCAACGAAGCAAACATTGCTGAACTAACATCCAGACGTTTCTAAAAATTTTAGTATTGCTTCAAATGCTAAAACAAAACATTGTAGATAAAAGAAATTAAGATTTTCGTCGGTGTAGCAATCAGCCGTTTAGCTTAGTGTCTAAGGCGCGAATCCTGAAAACGTGGGCTCGATTCCCACAGGCGGCGACAAACTTTTAGTACTTTTTTCTACAATTTTTAATATTTTAATATTTCAAAACCCAGCTCCTATTCCCGATTTATTATTATACGAATATTTTCTCTACGTTGACGAAGCTGACAGCGTGAGCTGAAGCGAGGTTTAACGTGGAATTAGAGCGTTTTCGAGTAGCAATTGAAAAGTTCGACAGGTTTAAATTGGAACAAATACAAAATTCGTTTCGTATTCATTACGTGAACGCAGGGCGCCTTCGTTTGTAAAAGGAATGCTTTTGAAGAGTTCCGGGTTTCAACGAAATCGTTAATGGATTAACGAGATCGCAGCGGAAACGCATACAATTTTGTCTTTTCATATTTTCTCATATTAGTATGTTATTATATCCTGGTATCGTGCAATAGCTTCTGGAAGTAAAAAGGATTTCTGAGATTCAGTAACTCTGTCTGGTGTTTTTAAGAAATAGTTTTAATTCTTCCAAGTAAATAGAGATGCCAAGGGCATTTTTACATATACTATCGCGATAATTATCGTATATTAAGTATGTTTAAACATAACGTGCATTGCATTTAATGTATTTTGATCACAAGCCCTACTCTCAAGTTTAATTAAACTTTATTGTACTAGAGTAACGACAAAATTAGCGCCAGCTAATTGCCACAAAGGAAACGTAACATCGCATGATTAACAATGTGCAACTCAAATTAGCCGTCGCACTTAATTGAATAAATAATGGCGACGGAATAAAAAATAAATTGATAAATAGGCTTTTTAATTTTATATCCATGGTAGTGACATTAATTTATTTGTGTTGGAAACATTAAGCTACTTTTTATGATCTGGAACGGTGACAGCATTTGGAATCCCTCAAGCCGCGAAACGGTTAACTCAGACGTAAGTTTCACTTCGTATGATCGACGTTAATTAAATAACAACCCTTGAAAATGTTTATTTGTTCATTTTGAGAAAGACACGATGAGCAAAATCAATCATGAGCGTTTATTAAGATGAATTTTGGCGTAATACATCTCTTGATTAGTTTTTATATATTGATTTACTCCATCCATTAATAGCGATCACCATCGTGTGCCTTGGAGGGCTAAAATTCATTGTATCGGAAAATCGATGTAATACTATACACACAATCTTGTAAATAATAGATCTTTAATCTTATCTTATCTTTAATCTGGTAAATATTAGATCAATAAAGATTGTACATGAGATACACACAATGAATCTTCATTTTGTACGTTATTCACAAACAGAAGCTTATAAAATTGATTAGTTGATATGTCGACAACCACCCGATATATCTCAGTATTCGTCTTAATATCTCTTATCCTTTAAACGAGCAATTCTTGTATATATCTATATATATATATGTATATCTCGGAAACGGTTCCAGCGATTTTCATGAAATTTAGTATGTGCGTAGATTCGGGAGCGAAAAATCGTTTCATTTTTAGAAAATGTCCTTTTATCCCTGTTTTCAGGGAATGAAAAATATCATTCGAATATGACAGTAAATTTCGCCGCAAAAAAAAATGTTATAATAGCTCGGTCGGTAATGGGGCGGCCCCAAAACAGACGGCCGAGGTTCGTATCACGATCATTTACACACTTATTTTTTTTACTTTTTTTTTCTATACCAGATAATTTTCGATCCTCCAGGTACTATCGCATTAATCAGTAACAATGTAAGCCAGAATTTGGTAAATAAATAGCGATGAAATTGATTCTGCGTTTAATTGAATCTCTCTGTGGGTAAATTACACAGCTCTTATCAAAATTGTTGGGCCTATCGGTTGTAATCTGTGAAAAATCTCGGTAAAGTTCGGTAAAGTCTTTTCAAAGTCACACACATGCTCTTTTTATTATTGGAAAATCAAAACAATATCATTAAAAAAAACATGAAATACGGTGATGAATTAGGGTGAAAATATCACAATTTTCATTTTTACCAAAAGATTATGTACTCAGTACATTAAACGCAATCGATACGGTAACGACATATCTGCACAAAAAGACAGGATTACATAGCGTACGAACAAAGGCATATAATTGGAATTATTTTGTATAATTATAAATTGTTTTCATTTATTTCGAAGCATATTTGTTGGCTTTAATGTCTAACAAAAGGTTTCTCCCCGTTTACTTAAAAGGAATTTGAAAGAGTATTCAAGTCCATGTTGTCACTTTATTTATAACTAGCGGCCCGCCCCGGCTTCGCACGGGTAACAATACGGTTAACAAAAATTTTAAAATTAAAAATTATCATACACACACATAAAACCTTCCGAATATTCCGTCTTTGGTGAATTATTTTATGAATTTCCTCATGTTTTAATGAAAT